TTAACCACCCTCTTCTAGTGACCAACAGAGCTGATATCCAGGCCAGAAGTATAATGCTGAAGAACTTTATTAACATATTCACACTGGGAGAGAGGGTATGGCGGCCTAGACATCCAGGGTAGAACAGACACAGACTCCAGGATCACCAGTCCCTTTCAGTAATTCAGTGTAGATCCATTTGCAGCACAGTTGAATAAGGATAGGTACAGAATCTTCAATAGTAGAGACACCAGACCTGCAGCCATTGGCTTCCCTGCTTCGCCTCATAAATTAGCAGAAAAGGCCTACTCCAGGCATGAGGTCTAACAGAGCATTTTCCACACTCAGGTGTTACCACCCCCAGGTCTAGCCCTGGAGCAGGCTGGACAGCACCGAAACCTGGACTAATCCATGGCTTGATCCAGACTGAGCACATGGTAATTACCTTGAGTATATAAGCACTTCCCCAGCATGCAACACTGGCTAAGAGAGCCCCAGTAATTGGCTGGTGGACTGCACACACACTCACAGTGTCCCTCATTGGCTGTCCCACACAGCAGCAGAGTCACACTCCACAGGCAGGTACAATCAATGAAAGAACACCTGGAATTAACCAGAAAAATGCCAACTATAATTCAGCCAGACTGACTACAGCTCTGGCAATCACTACATTTCTGCTAGCCACTACACTAAAGGTCTTAAGGGCTACATCTGGAGAGGATGTGACTTGATAGAGGCTTTAAACCTTGCCTTCTCTATCCAAGAATAGAAAAAATATTAGCTTAGGTCAAGGATTAGTTACAGTAAATGTGTGTGGACATTTAATAAAATGGTAAACATTACAAATCAATGATGGCTGCACATAGCATTTCTTGAAGGTGACAACAGTGGAACATGACAGTGTAATGGGCATAGCCACTTGTTGTCTTAACTGGTAGGACATTTTACATGGTGACGATGTAGGAGCACAATTGGGAGACAAGGGGGGTGATTTACTAACCTAAACACACGCACGCACCAGGTGCGTGTGATTTTCACACAGCAAAATGTATTTATCAACCAAAACGTCTCTAAAAGCATATTTCCACTAATGCCATATATGGCAAAATCATGCACATGATGCATATATAATGCTGCTTCACAGTTTAGACAAAAATGGTTAGCTCATGCATTTACATTCCTGCATTCATCAACGCAAGCAACACAACATAGAGCTAATTTACACCTTGCAATTCATGCTTGGCTTTGCACAACACACCTGCTGGGTGTGTACACACTACAAAGGTGTTTAGATTCCACCCATAGATCATGCTGGGAGGGAACACACTACAGAGGTGTATACATGTTCATGGTGTTTTTATAAGGTTAGTAAATCAACCCCAAGGACAGAGTGTTTTCACACTATAACAGCAAGGGGCTGAACATGGACCCACTTGGTAGGATCACCAAATACACATTGTATTATTGTCTCGGAAAGTAAGAAAGCCTTTAGATCAATCAAATAGCATTTTCCCCATGATCATTCCAGACATTGCTCCAGTAGCAGAAGGGTGCATACAAAGGGAAATGTATAGCTGTTACTGAGGCTCCAGATGATCCCCGATAGGTCAAAGAGATACATAATGAAAAAAATGATGCGATATCTGAACATTAAAAAAAAAGGTCAGGATTTATGCTGAATGTAATTTCCATTGGATTGAAGTGTTTAAATTGGTGATCATTGAATGCTGTTTTGGTAACAACCTTTGAAAGAACACAGTGTGGGTGGGGTTTTTTTTAATCATATAGACACATTTTATTAAATTAACACTTTTTATTCATTACATCACTTTTTATTCATTACATCACTTTTTAGTCATGCATCTATTCATTACAGCTACTGAATTGAGGGGAACCCTACTTGACTAAGAGTTACTAGCCTGCTCTGATGCATGTGCCAGAGAGGACCTTCAACACAGTGAGGTCATTTTGTTAGTGAGAAGCTGCATACCATTTAATAACCGGAGGTAAGAATAAAAGTAAAAATTAGAGTGTATTCATAAAATACATATTCATACACTGAAAACAACACTCAAAATGTTATAGAAGGTATATGCACTTAGTTACACTTAGTGACATTGTATGCCAGGGGACAACTATTAGCTTTTAGAGAAAAAAAATCAAATTATAGCTTTTAATGGGTTATTCACAAAGCTACCGAGTGAATAACCAAGCCAAAGTGAAGTGAGCCGAACGTTTGGCTATTCACTTCAGTCTTGTACGGCTGATTTCAGCCATATATCGGCTAAAATCAGTTGTAGATTGACTGCCTTCAGTCAGCCGAACATGATCTGCAGAAGGCGTTCGATTCAGCCGATCCAACATCTGAATTGGCTGAGCTGAAGTTCCGGCAGCTCACTAGCTGCTGTTCGCCTCTATTCTCATACTATATATTCTCATAGGGGCTGAATGGCAGTGAGTGAATAGCCGAATGCCGCCGAGTGGCATTCGGCTTGGCTATTCTGCTCAGTACCTCCGATGGGCAGAAGCGGCCGGAGCGAACCGAAGGATCAGCCAAAGCTGCGGCTGGATCCTTCGGCTCTTTAATGAATAACCCCCTTTGTTTTAGGCTGAGTAAATATTCTATATATTCTATATTCTGAAATCCTATGTGATGTGAGTTGTTTCCAAATAAAGGACAAATAAATTAATGTATTTTAATGCATTTTTTAAGCTGTGCTATTTTTAAAATAATAATAACCAAAACTGAGGGAAAAGTGTTTTATTTATGTTTTTTCCTAATTTTTTAGTGAGACGTTATGAACACATACGTGATATAAATATATAGCCCTATCTGTCTTCTAAAAAATAATATATAATATGTGTGGGTGCGCTTAGTAAAAAAGTATATTATTGCTGTGGAAGAATCACATAGCAAAAATGTAAAAAGTGTGTCAGTCATTAACGAACAGAAACTGAAAACAAGCTCAGTCATGAAGAGGTTAAACACTGGCTAGACCATTTTGACCGCAGGACCCCCCACCAGTCAGTTGTTTAATCAAAAAAGAACATAAGAGTATATTTATTTTGATGAAAAAGCCCTCAAAATATTGTAGTGAGTATGTGTGCAGTCTTTACACCTTTTGGAAACAGGACCCAAACCAGCCAGCTGGTCAACAAAATCTATATTGCAGTGTATTCATTTCACTGAAAAAGGCACCCAAAATACTTCGGGATTCATTTATTAAAATCAAATAGTCCATTCACTTTGCAAGGGAAATTTCCATGAACTAAAGCTCTGCTGACTTCCGTCATTCAATCATGTGAAAGTATGTTTTTGTTACTTTCCCTGCAATGGTATTCTTTGGAAAGTAAATGTTCACCACATTCGCGAAGCTAAGGGAAAATTATCTTGCAAATTGAACAGCCTGTTTGCCTTTAGGAAATCAACCTCTTTGACTAGGCTGCTTTGTCAACAGCTCCTAAAATAGTGTACCTAATGTGAGTAGAACTGAATCATGTGTAGAGGGCTCCACTTTGATTAGGACCCCACCAACCATTTTTAAAATCAAGAAGTCAACATTAGAGTTACATTTTTTAGCAGAAAAAAATCATGTAGTACCTATGGGCACAGCATGAAATCACTTGCACTAGGATCCATTTTGAACAGGTCCCCCACCAGCCATTTTAAAATCAAGAACTCAACATTAGAGTGCAATTTTTTAGAAAGAGAAAACTTCCAAAAATATTGTAGTGTCTTCGTGCACAGCATTTAATCCCTTATACTAGGCTCCATTTTGATGAGGACTCACAACCATTTTAAAGTCCAGAAATCAGCAGGATCATAGAAAATTAATACATGTTAGTAAGGAGATACAATGAAGATATAGGGAGTTATTCACAAAGCTGTTGTAGGCAGCCGAGTGAATAACCACCTTCAGTGGTACCGAGCAGAATAGAAAAACAGTTAAAAAGGTAGAAAAAAAATAGAAAATGATTGGTCGGAGCTAGCAGTGACAGCTAGCTCCACCCAACTGTTTTCTATTGGCCGGGACCAGCTGTCATTGCAATGAGAGCTTGTCAGAGCCAGCGGTAATATGACAGCCAGCTCTGCTAAGCTCTCATCCTAATAATAGAACAGCGTCCCTGGTTACTTGGTAACCAGGGACGCTGATCAGTCATTACACTGAGAACCTGGTGGTTCTGCTGCCATCAGAATAAAAAATAAAAAAATAATCAGCATAGGAATGCATAGCTAGATTCCTATTGGCTATTTCAATTTGCAATTTCCAATAGCAAGCTGGCTATTGCACCGGTCCTCTGCTGCTGTCAATCACTAGAAGGGGACCTGATGGAGAACTTCAGGTCCCCTCTGCTGATTGGCAGCAGCAGTGGGCGGGTGCAATAGCTAGTTTGTTATTGGCTGTTGCAAATTGAAATAGCCAATAGGAATGTAGCTATGCATTCCTATGCTGTTTTTTTTTCTGACTGACGGCGGCTGGTGGCTCTGATGTCAGAAAAAAAGGAAACAACAGAGCAGGGAAAGGTTTACTCTGCTCGAAACCGGCCGGGAGAGTAATGACAGATCACTGTTTGGTGAGCTTCGGCTTTCACCTGGGCTCAGTCGAGCCGATGCATATGCCTTCGGCTCAACTGAGCCCCTCGGCCAACTTTGGGAGCTATAGTGAATAGCCCGTACAGCAGCCCTTCGGTTCTACTGAACCGAAGGGGTCCTGGGGCTGAAGCTACGGCTAGATCCTTTGGCAGCTTAGTGAATAACCGCCATAATGTTACAATTCAAGAGGTCACTGAAGGGAATGACATTTAAATGTAATCATTCATACTACATTGAGTGAAATGATTACATTTATATGCTCAATCTGCAGCATTAATTGTATCTTAATAACATTTATTTATTCTTATCCCCTCCCTAAATTTTAAATGAAGATATTTTTGCTAGTGGAAAACAATCTGTACATTTGGCTTTGATACATATTTATCCAAGTCGCTTTTAACTTACTACATTTTGCATTACGTGCTTATTACTTACTGAAAAGCAAGTGCAAACAGTGGTTAATAATTTTATCTAGAGCCCTTTTCAAGTCCCTATTTCTCAGACTGTATATAATTGGATTCATCAGAGGGGTGGCTACAGTGTACAGCAATGACAGGAATTTCATGATATTCCATGACTGTCCACTACGAGGTATTAGGTAAACAAAAACAAGAGTACCATAATAAATGCAAACAACAGTCAGGTGGGAACTGCACGTTGAGAAAACCTTTTGCCTGCTAGTAACTGACTGGATTTTAAAAATGGTAATCAATATATAAACGTATGATACAATAATAATAAAGAAAGGGATAACAACAAGTAAAAAACTCAGCAATGTCACTTCAAGTTGAACAATGGTTGTGTCAGAACAGGAGAGTTTTAGGATTGGATCAAGATCACAGAAAAAATGATCCATTACATTAGGACCACAGAATTTTAGCTGTGATATTGGTAAAGTGTGAGTCAATACTACAGCAACACATAAAACCCAACACGCGATGACCATTTTGCAGCAGAACTCAAAGTTCATTGTTAGGTTATAATGCAATGGTTTACAGATGGCCAAGTATCTGTCATAACACATGACTGTCAGAAGAAGACACTGCAAAGTTTCTGGGAGAGCAAAGAAAAAATACTGCGTGATGCATTCAGTAAATGATATTATTGTCTCCTTCATCAGAACAACACGGAGCGTGTTAGGAAGAATGTCAGTTGCCAGAAGGATATCTGATATGGACAGCTGGGAGAGGAAGAAGTACATGGGGGAATGCAGGGTTTTGCTGTGGGACACCAGCGTGATGATCAGGAGGTTTCCACATATTGTCACACAATAAATTATGAGGAGAAGAATAAAGATGAAAAACGTTAGATTGTGCGCAATCTGAAATCCTAAGAGGTGGATCAGAGTTAAAGTGGTTACATTGTTCTTCTCCATCACTTGAAGACAGAACCTAAAAAATTGAAACAGCTTGTGTGAGTCATTAAATATTATTGGATCTAAAAATAAACTATTAAAGTCGTGACTCTGGTAAACGTACATACCCTTTCTTCCCATTTATTGTAAATAAGGCAGTGCAAAGATACACTGTGCAATAACCCAAGGCAAATAATCACATTTCACTTTGTTAAATTCAGTCAGAAAGATAAGGGTCTGATGTGTCTTATTGAGAGAACTAAAACAAGGTTAACCTAGGACTGATACGTAATATTGAACAATTCTGTGGAAGAAAAATGTCAAACTCTTGTAAATGTTGGCCAAAGAAAACCTCACATACATTTGTCAAATAAAGTCTATGTCTGGAAAGATGATAACTTTCCACCAATGCAATACATGAAGACCCTTAAGTCTAAACCAATGGCCAAGAAACCAGAAATGTGAGAGGTGGCCAATCAATACCTCAAGCAAAACGTGGCGCGGCTGTGCGGCTTTCCCATTTTCTGCAGAAGACGTGTATCCAAACCTCTGCTTTTAACCTTAGTGGTTAGACAGGTTTTTTTGCATGCTGGCTGGTGAGTGTGCTGGGAAACTTTTTTCTGTTTTACAATCAATACCTCAGCCTCTTACATTTGTGGTTCCTCATCCCTGGATATAGGTTGGAAGTAGAAGACACTCAGTGGGGGTTATTCACAAAAGGGTGAAGGGTTTGCAGGAGGCAGGAGAAGTGAACCAATTAAGACAACATAAATTAACTAGAAAAGGAGCTGAATTGGAGAATTTTTCCAAATCAGCTATTTTGGCCCAAATTGTTCACTTCTTCTGCCTTCGCCAAACCCTTCACCCTTTTTTAAATAACCCCCAACAACTCTGTTCTATTCGGAGGGAGAATTTGGGGCAGTCAGACAGTTTGTGACTTGAGGTCCACTTTAAGCACTCAAAAATATAAATGAACTAATTTTTAGTTGCAAAGAACAAGAGAAAAACATACTCATTGAATTGTTAAATATTGCAATAAACAATAATAAGAAATGTGCAGTGCAGCAATAAGTATTTGTCCTCCATTGAACTTACTGATTAGAAAATATTGCTGTTTTTATATGTTAGTAGACAGAATTAAACGGAACCCTGGGAATAGGAAGTGCTCTTTGATATTTTCTCGGGACTCGTTACTTTTAATGTGTAGGGAAATGAACTGCCTATTGGTAGTAAATAAAATCATTAGAGTTCTAAAAGAGGAATATGCATTGACACACATAAACATTGTATTTATTTATTTTAAATTTAGTCAATTCTGAATTTATACATAATAACATTTTTTTTACTTTAAATCAGGGTATGCTTCACCCTTTTAACAGCCCTTGTGTTTGCTTTAAGTTATGTTTGTATGTGTTCACTGTATTATAACGTGTTTATTTAAAGTGTACCTGTGACCAGGTGGATATAAAAATATTTACATATCCTAGCGAGCAGTAAAAGGTTGTTAAAGGGTAACTCTACTTTTAAAAATGAAGAAATGAAACATCTTAAAAAAAATTAATATAGCATATATATAACTAGTCGATGACGGCCACAATTCGCATGTTCAGACCCAGTTTTTCGGCTGACAGTCCGATCTTTAAACAATTTAACAACAGCTGCTCTTGAACATTTAACAAATTCTGCTGTTTTGCTGATACTCGCTCCATGGCTCCGAGCTCCAACAATCATCCCACGTTCAAAGGCTGTTACATCGCCTTGTTTCCCCGTATCTTCAGAAACAAATCACTTCTACTGTCGTGGTAAACAACCTCCTTCCCTATTTATGATGGTCTGGCCCTCTAGCAACTTCAGCGCCAAATTATAACTAATTTGCCTACAAACGTCAGGTGGTCATAATAACCTGGCCACTCAGTGTATATATTGCACACGCCATTTTGTAATTTAATGTTATTAAAAACATATTTCTGTTTCAAACTGTAACTGTTGTAATGTTCCACACCTGTCATAAAATTCAATGCTATGTGGAATCCTGGAGGTATTACATACACAGTTTGTTCATGCCCTGTGCTACACCACAATGGCTTGTATCCAGCCTTCATTATTTTGCCCAGAAGTTTATTACTGCCCTCCACCAGCATTTGAAATGTAATGTGTCTGTGTCATTGGACCACACTGTCAGCAGCGCATTACCCATGACTGTGTAAATGTGGTCCAGTAAGTATTGCCAGGGACACTACATACTGTATCCTTGGACACTGGGTCAATCTTCTGGTGGCTGGAACAGATGCAGGATGGGGCATATCATTAGAGCTCTAAGTGCTGTCACATGTATTTAGTGCACTCATTTGTCCCCCCTCCTCCTCACTGGCCTCATTCTAAGACTCCTCAGAAGCAGCAATCCCCCCAAGTGACCTCAGACATATATAACATTCCAAGCTAAGCACTACCATGCTGCCACCATTGTCAGTTCCTACGACCTCTACTAGCCTATTGCTGTGCTCCACAATTATAGAGGTGCAACACAATGTTTTAGGGGGGAAACCTATGGCCATAGGATCCCTGCCCTTTCACAATGCAGGAGAGAGTGCTAGCAGAAGTAAATGGGGAGGGGGGGGGGATCCTATTACCAAGGGGAAGGGCAGGCATCAGCAGTTTTCCCAAATCAGAACCATCAATAAATAACAGAAAAGCCTAATAATAGAGGTTTGAGGTGCTGCCAAATGGAGGTCTTAAGTGCTAAGCTGAGTGTTGCTAGTTTCACCTATTTTTTCTCCCCCAATCCCCATTTCCTCCTCCCTAGGCATCTCTGCTCCCTCCTTCTTTTACTTTTACTCCTCCTACACCTCCTCCACCTTCTTCTGCTATCTCTACTTCTGCTCCCCTTCCTCCTTTACCTCTATTTTATCTTCTCCATCCACCTCCATCTACTCCTCTATCTACTTCTCACACAAAGGTTCAGTAAGAAAACCTATGGCCATAGCTTCCCCATTCCTTTACAATACAGGGAAAAGGGCAGGCAAAATGGTGTTGGGGGGGGTCCTACAGTCAGGAGAAAGGGCGAGAAGCTGAAAAAAAGTGTAAGACCCTATACTCTTAGGCTGCCCCCCTTTCCACAAAACTGAATTTAAAAATACAGGTAAGTCTAAGAGGAGAGGTAGAGGTGCTGTCAAATAGAGATCACAGGTGTCAAGCCAAGCATTGATCATGTGTTCCTCCTCCTCCCCCTCTTGCTCCCTCTCCTCCTTCTCCCCTTCCTTCTTCACCTCTTCTTCATCCTGCCCCTCCTCCACCTCCAGCTCATCCATCCTTCATATCTCCTCTCCTTCCTCCTCCTCCACCTCCTCCACCTCGTCCCCATCTACTCCTCCTCTTCCTTCTTTATTTCTTCCATCTCCACCCCTCCTCTTTCTATGTTATCATAGCAGAAAGAGAGGCTCTGGGAGGCTTTTCACCAGCCTAGTGGCTCACCATCTAAGATACCTACACTATTTTGACCCCTTTTGAAGAGACAACTAAATAGTGAGCTGAAATGAGTGCAGGATTTGTGACACAATCCCTCTCGCGTACCTCCTAAAACGCACACTGCATGGCCTAATAGGTGGGATAACTCATAAAAAAATTTGTTTCAATTCTTCCCTATTTACAAACTGCATTTACAAATTATTATTATTTTTATAAGGCCATCACTACTCACGTCAAGCAAACATGGGCAGGGCCAGCAATTTAAATATTTTCAAATCCACATGTTAAAGTTATATCCTGTTTGATGAGCTTGCAGAGGAATGTAACCCCTGTACCATGTTCAATGACATAATCATGGGGTAAGCAAAGAAAATAGTGCCACGAATCATACATGGTGACTAACTAGGGAAAACTGTCCCTTCTTCTAGTTCCTGGTCTGGAAAACCCCAAAGTAACATTCTCAGCACCATAACTTTTTTACTACACATTTTAACCCAAGTCAACCAAACACGGGCAGAGATAGCAATGCAAACTTGGTAAAAGTATTAGTAGCTGGGAAGGGTGTTGCAAGGGGGACCCAACTGCATTTTATAGGGCTGCCACATTTGGTGGGGGCAGGCACAACTGACACATGCAATCCTATGGCCATGGGCTGTCAACCTCTCCCCAGAGTGAAAACTTTAAACTCAAGACACTCACCATTATCCAACCCACTGTTTCCAGTAACAACCTTTTAATGTCTGGCTTTTGCAGGAGAGGAAAATGCCTCGACATAGGAACTGGCAAAAATAGACCCCTTCCACTAGTTCATGCCTGGACAGTCCCACATTAACATTTTCTCATCCACTACCACTAGGTTTATGTTTTTTTCTATTAAACATTATTTACAGATTTACATTTATCCATTTATGACCCCATCAACTAATAGAAAACTGAAAGAGAGTTATTTTATACGAAAGGTCTTTAGAAAATCTAAGCAGTGCATGGCCAGCTTTATTTACAGCAAATCAAGTGCAAACAGTGGTTGATAATTTCATCTATGGCTTTATTCAAGTCTCTGTTCCTCAGACTGTATATAATTGGATTCATCAGAGGGGTGGCTACAGTGTACAGCAATGACAGGAATTTCGTGATATTCCATGACTCTCCACTACGAGGTATTAAGTAAACAAAAACCAGAGTACCATAATAAATGCAAACAACAGTCAGGTGGGAGCTGCATGTTGAGAAAACTTTCTGCCTGCTGGTAATGGATGACATTTTAAAAATGGTAATCAGTATATAAACATATGATACAATAATAATAAAGAAAGGGATAACAACAAGTAAAGAACTCAGCAATGTCACTTCAAGTTGAACAATGGTTGTGTCAGAACAGGAGAGTTTTAGGATTGGATCAAGATCACAGAAAAAATGATCTATTATATTAAGACCACAGAATTTTAGCTGTGACATTGTTGAAGTGTGAATCAATGCTATTGAAGCACTTGAAACCCAACACGCGATGACCATCTTGCAGCAGAACTGGAAGTTCATTGTTAGGTTATAATGCAATG